CTAAGATAGTTTCGGCTTTCTAGTTCCATGTCGGAATTTGTTCTAGATTGTTTGTTCAATAATCTAAGGAATTGGTTCAAGGGGGCCGATACAGCAGCTATGTGTTCTTTCCTGGAAAGTTTCTGGGCGGATCACCTCGAGAACGCAAGCGAACCGGATGTGTACTTGGAGGGGCTTCTGGAATGCTTACGTGCCGCGAATGTCTTTATGCGTACATTGTACCGCTCGGGACTATGGCTGTCGATGGACCGCTGCAAGATCGTCGCCGAATCCGGCTTGGCATGTCTGAAGGCGTATATGGAAACGTCGCATCGTGCTTTTCAGGCTCAGCGAACGCGCTTTAAACTCACGCCTAAATTTCACGCGCTGATACACGTGGTGGATTCGATGGTGACATCTTACAACAATGGGCGCCGCTGGACGTTGTCTCCCTTAGCGGAGGCAACACAGATGGACGAGGACTTTATCGGTCGTGTGTCCTCTTTGTCGACAGCAGTAAGCTCGCGGCAGATGCACACAGAGACACTCAAGAAGTATTTGACCAACGTCTGGACGCATGTGCATTCGAAATGAAAAAGACGAGGGGGCCGAGTGTATTCGAGAATCATTCCAAACCCTGGTTAAGAACCCAGCCATCCCGAACCACAATCTTGTTATTCCGACTCCAAACCCCGAACGCAAAACCGGCACTAGGATTCAGCAACTTATAAAACAGGCGCCTTTGGTCAGTCGCCTGTTATTTTCGGCTACCGGGTTCTTAAGGTCTCATCACAAGTCTCCTTCTTGAAGTCTGGGCAGTTCGGGTGCCGCGAACCGAACAATTGTAAAGCCCCAAAGCCCTGAAACCACATGTGGCCCAGCAGCCCTTATACCTGAAAAACCCGTATATAAATCGTATTCCATAGGCGCCTCTTACAACCTCTATAAGCCAGAAGGTCCCTTTATAGTATGATTCTGGCATTGGTCCCCACAACCATAACAAGGATGGTTTTTGGGGACCTAGTGGTAATACATCTGGACCCTCTGGGTGAGGATGCCAGCCTACCGCAAAAACCCCAAGAGTGCGAAGCTTCCTGAACGTGCACAGACAAGCGGCTCGTCTAGGGCGATCGGCAAAATGCCAAAAACAAACCTCCGGTCGGGCTAGGAAAGGGGCCTTATTGATGCGAACAAACTCCTTTCGCTGTCGTTTTAATAGGTTTTTTGTATTGGAACAGACTGTTATTTGTCTCTCTTTTTCTTGGAAAGGGGGTTGGGGTATATTGCAGTGTTTTGTATTTTCTATTGGAGAACACATTCCTCCAAGGCCAGAACTCAGCAGGATTAAGAGCTTAGGGCTTCAGGCTTGATTGAGGTTCAGGCCCTAGCTTAGGAACAAAGGTGTTCAGGATTTTAGGGTTCAGGGCTAAGGCTTCGGAAGTTCGGGAGTTTGGGGAATCGAGGGCTCTGCAACGGCACGCACCGCTCATAAGCCAGGAAGCAGAACAAGCAACTCAACAAGCCCCATGCCCTTGAAACGTTCAAAATCCATGCTACATATCTTGAACCCTGACATACCCTGAATGCGTGAGGATGCAGGGTTCAATGCTGACGAGGGCTCCTTCCCACGGACACGTTGACAGTTGTCATTCGAGTTTCTGGTGATTCCAATTGTGACAATCAGCGCTCGGGGTTTTTGGCGAGCCCGGTTTCGGTTCACAAGGTGCCAACGCCACATCTGCTTCTCTCGGCCACAGATAGACAGGCACATCGGTCCAGAAGAACCGGTCGGGGAAACCCTAATTTCGTGGCTCTAAACTCTGAACCTTGAGAGGTATGGGAGCAGAGGATTGCATTGTGGCGGGCGCCCAAACGGACAAACTGCGCGAATCGCGAAACCCTGAACCGGACACCGCAAAACCTTAAACCGCATATCTGAAGCCTACACCCTGAACCCCAATGTCTCAATCAAAACCTGAGCCCGAAACCGGGGTAGCCTTCTTATGAAGCTCTTATTTGAAGAGCCATCGACCCCTGGAAAAGACAAAAACAAGGTTTGGTTCGGGTTTCTGTACATACCTCAGCTGTGCGATCAAAAGGCATCATCTTACTCGTCGCAAGGCTCGTCCGCATCCTGCGGGCATGCCACATGAAGAGCACTGCATCCTGCCTGCCAACCCCCATGCACTCACTACAAACCCTATATAGGCCCTAAACCCTATCGAAACCTACCAGGCCCACACCGACCTGACCAACAAGACTCCAAAATCCACTACCGACAATCCAGTGCAAAGAAGGCTTCCTGCGTCAACTTCGACAGATTTTCTGGGTAGCTTCTGTAGTCATGTGCAGAATTGGGGGCTCCTGGAAACGCAGATTACTTTACAAAGGAGGCTGATGATGTCCGTTCGTGCGCATGAGCATTAGGTCCACAGTCCGGACCGCGCAATCTACGGTCCGGAAGACGGATTTTGAGGGCCTCCTTCTTTCTGAACCGGGAACCAGGCTTCCACGGAAAAATGCTGATACTCTGAGCACTTGCAGGCATGGCTTCAGTGGTCAAGGAGGACAAGCCTTTGTAGGCTTACTTGCGTTGGCATCTGGAAAAAAAGGCTTCGGATCGGTCTTGCGATTCAAGAGGTTGGAGTACGAAAAACACATCTCCCGAACCCAAACCCCATTGTGAACCGCAGACAAATCATGCAGAAACCCACGAATGGCTAAAGTATCCGAAACCCCTAACCTCCCCTATTAACCCAATGGAATCCCTACTCCTACACCTGCCCTTGCGGAGTTTAGCATTCACAGGCCGAGCCACCACGCGCACAGGGCGCGCTCTGCCGCAAGCTCCTGCGCGGTTTAGGGTTTACGATTTTAGGCTTTATAGGGCCTTAGGGACTTTATAGGGCCTAATTCCCTGCTCGCCACCCACCTACCCCGCTTTCCCCTGGGTGTTCCGTCGACTTCTCACCAGGGCCAGTGACGGCCGGTGGAGACGGAGGTCTGGCCTGGCGAAGTCAGAAGCAACATGGGACAATATGGCGCCTTGACTAAAGGGATGCTCTTTCAGATTCACAAATTTAGATCAAGGGCACTGGCAGCAATGCATTGCAGCGGTGAGTCGTTGGCACTTGTGCGTCGTCGCCGTCCAGAAAGTCGTCTTGGTAGCAGTCGTAGCAGAAGCGGCAACACTGACAGCATGTTTTGAAACTCCTGAAACCTCGAACCCGAAGGGCTCTCCTTCCCAAGATTCGGGGGTTCGCGTCTCGGGCCAGAGCTGTGGGAGAGTTGACAAGACCCTAACTGACCTGCACCCGATCGAAGTGTGAAGAACGCCACAGCCCGAGGCTCGAGACAGACTCAAGTGTATAGCCCTCCGAGGTGCATGGTTGGAGGCTGAGTCATTTTCGGTTTTGTTCTCAAGTCCTAGCCACTGGCTGAGCCCAGCAGGGAAGACAGAGTGTGCCTGCACTACAGACGGTACTACCGTACCGCACACTCTGCAGGGGAACGAAACCATTCATGCTGGACACTGTTGTGCAGCAAACGCTGACACATACACACAACACAACTATGTAGACATATGGCAAAGGATAACAATGACACTACATAGCATCATAAGTCGTGATGCAACAGAGCACGAAACGGTGTGTAAGAAAATAGTGCTGTGTGACCTAGCCCGGTACACACCCATGCTGCGGTACATGCAAACTTTTGGTCGACCTATCTATTCACAATTCCGTATGTCGACTCATGTTGGCTAAACTTCAGTGAAGTCTGAAGTACGCACTCCATCTACATGGATGTGCATCCGTCCATCCATGCCTGCATGCCTGCATGCATGTATGCATGCATGCATGCAGACGAACAGAAAGACGGACGTGGGTGCGGGCATGTCCTGGGAACAAGCTGGACGGAGCCCAAACATGTTCGTAACTTTGCCCTGAGCGACACCATATACAGAGCGAATGGCAATTCAACTAGCAAGACATCCAAAGACCTAAACCCAAGAAGTGAGGGACTCATTATCGCCTGCAATCTTGCGGACGGCAGACCACGGACATGGACGGTAGATCCTTGCAGCGACAGAGGCTTGAGAAATGAGGTCTGTAACTGTATATAAGGATGTTTGAAGCACCCGCCTCGGTTTGAGGAATCGCGGTTAGTGGTGGGGTGTGAAGAAGAGATTGTCATAAGATCCGGGATCCTGACATTATGGACAACCAAACAGCAGGCTCCGCAACATACCAACCCCCCGAGACCAGGGAGCCCAAATGTTCGAAACAGACTGCGACCAAGTTTTGGGAGTAGTTGTGATCCAAGAGCTTCAGCCTGAACTGCAAACAGGGCTGGGGTTAGGGGGTTTTAGGCTTCAGGGGTTAAGGTTTAGAGATACTATAACTCCTACGGACAGGAACCATAGTCACAGGAGAGATAAAGTAACTAGGCAACTCATACGAAACCCTCAAACCCTAAATCGACCATGCTCTAAGTAGGGGTTGCAGCACGGTAGGCACATCAGAAGGGCACAGAGATTTTACATTGCAATCCCGGGGAATTCTTATGAACAAGTTACAGTAGCATCCAAACCCGTAAGCTCCTACACACCTACATAGATCTCCAAAACTATAGCCGCAACTTCAGACTCCTGCCCAAATCCTTCGCCAAGTCCTACCAAAGGATTCAGCGTGGCTAGATATCCCTTGGGAAGTCGGCTGTACTGTCGCCTACGCGTATTCAAAGTCAAAGAACAAAATCAAAGGCCAGTGCCCTCGAAACGGTTTTTAACCCTCTGCTTCCAGGGACCTTATTATTGTTGGGTCCTTGAGGGATCTAGGGCCTAAGGCCCTACCTAAAAAGTCCTCGGATTTATAGGGTAAATTTCAAAGCTTCGGGGTCCATCCGGTTTAAGGCCTGGCCCAGCCTTTCAACCTATCTCGCATGCCGAAGCACCATCGCCAAGCGCGCGTGTTGGCCCCTGGTCCATGGGGATAATGTGTGTGGCTGAAGCAGGTGTGGACTCGCGGGAACGCCTCGACCCGGCTGCAATCGTGACTGCAAACAAAAGGCTTTTTCTCTCTCTCTCTCTCTCTCTGGCAGATTCAACACTTCGCCCTGCCGTCGGCCAGGTGACGTTCCAAAAAACCAATGTACAGAGAGGGAGGGACGGAGAGGGAGAGGGAGAAAGCAACATCGTATGACGTCTGCCTATATCCAACTAACTGCAGTCAAAATTCCTGCACAACCTGAACCCGAAAGGGGGCTTGAAATCTAAACCGCAAGTGGGGAAGGCCTACATGAGGAAAGAAACTCTGAACCTTCAAGCCCCGAAGCCACAAGCCCCAAACTCCTACAATGTAAGAGCTAAGCGATTGAAATCCCAGCAACAAACATTCTACATACATATATCACCAACCCCCAACAACCTCATCCCAACCTCGGCCACGATGTCCACCGAAATGTGACGCGCCAGCCCAAACCTGAGACGAGGACCCGAACAGGAGGACGCCGAAGAGAAGGAGGACTTTAGAGGACTGGGCCCGTCTGACTCGGTTTACAATAACAATAGGGCTTGGGGGCTTTGGGATTACAACTTTGGGGCCTTTAATGGAGCTTTTCAGGGTTGCGGGTTTTGAGCTCTGAGGCTTTCGGATCTTCGTGTCTCGGGGTCCTGTCATGGAGCGAGAGTGTTGGTGGGGCTTACCGGACCCTAAAAACCTGCAAGTTTAGGGTCTGTGATTTGATTTCCTTCTAATGTAGGTTACTTGGGGTCTAGGTAAGGCTTGAGACTTGAACGACATATCTTGGCGTTGTGACAACTTGCCACCTGTCTCTTTCACGGTCCTCAGTATAGCAACTACAGCCCGAACCTTCAACAACATCAAAGGACAGGGTCTTGGGCCGTCATTTTAAGGCCGACGTAAGGTTCTGGTGTATACTATATAGTCTTTAGTATTCGAGTAGTCTGAACCAGACTGCTGTTAGGGGACCTGATCGTTTTGAGAGCCCGGAAGGGCTCACTTTGAAGCACTGCCCATGTACGCATCACATGAAACCCTGAACTGTGCGCCTTAGCCCCTGCCCACCCATCAACTCCATACTCCAAGCTCTGCAGCCGCAACACCCTGCCCTGCCCCTGAACTCTACCCCAAAGCCTCTCAATCCCTCCTCAGCTACCCCCGAAAGCTCAGACGTACACGTTACGTTATAAGACGGCTAATCCTACATCCTCTATAAACCCTGCGCCCTAAACCCTGAATCCTAAAGCCTAAATCCGCCGAGGCCACAGGCCCAGATGTTTTGGGGGTTACCTCAAGTACCCTCCACGCTTTTGCTTCCATTTTCCACCCCCTTCGCCCGGATTCCCTTGATTTTGGCTGACTTTTTGGCGTTCCCTCACTTTTTGCTGTTTTTTTTGCGTTTTTGGGCCCCCCCGCCACCTCTCCGCTTCTCCCCTCCTCCTTCCCCACCTTTCCCAGCTTGCAACAGACCCCCCGTTGCTGCCTATGTTCCCTGTTTTTCTGTCTGCATGTTCTGTTTTTCGCTGTTCTCTGTGTGCTACGAGACTCAGCTCCTGCTCTTTCTTTCC